TCTTCATTACTGAAGGTCGTGTCCTTGAAAGATGTCTGTTGCCTCTCTTATGATGTTATTCCATTTTACACGGTCTTCAGCTTCTCGCAGGGCAGCTGCAATCGACAGTCCTAAATACCTACAAGATCTTTTTTTATGTGTGAAAATGGCATGGTTACCCCGCCTGCGCTATCGGTATACACTAGGTACCAGTGAGCGGTGATAAGTGAGGATGAGAAAGCAGGTCAGTTAGCCTATTGTGACGAATTCAACGATAAAATTGGTCACGATAGTTTCCAGGGGGAACCGCGTGGAGGTCGACCTGATAGGGTATATTGATAGCAATGGGGACTTAAACTCCCATTACTAACAATCCCTTCCCCCCTACCTACAAGATTAGTTGGATTTTTAATTGCTTGTAAAAAAAAAATATATATAGGCAACCATTTCTATTGGAGTGTGACCTCATTAATTTGAAACGGCCAACTAATAAAACCGACAATTCCCCGATACGACTCACAAAAGCGACACTCCTCTAATTGATTGGTGCTTACGATTTCTTTAATTACCAGTTTTTAGGCTAACAGCGAGGCTCTCTAATGGATTGCTCGAGGAATTGAATATATTTGGTAATTTGTTGGAACTTAGTTTATTAGGTGCCATGCTATTTGTGTACCTATCTCTTTAAAAATAAAAGAAAAACAACATCATTGTCATCAAATCAGCCTTTAACTATCCATTGCTGAACATAAGAAATCTCTTATTAGAGACAAGCTCGCCTTTGTACATTATGTTTCAAATGAATTGTGGTTAACATTATATTTTGTGTACAATAAAGAGTAAAGAATTATAAGCTTTCTCTTAATGGGGGTTTTGCCAGTAGTTGCCACGCTTGGCAGGCGGATTGGTAACCGTAGTTAGGTTTTGACGATGTTTTAAGAGGGATGCTGCCCATCCCTGGCCTTGTCTTAGTCGCCTCTTACGACACCTACGGGAAAGGAAGGAGTGGTCTAATCTATGCCAGGACCATATGGCAAAAGTAAATCATAGTGTTAGGTATTTTTTTTTTATTTCGTGGTAACTTGTTTAGTAAATACTTTCTATAAGGTAATTTTTTTTTTCGCACAAGCAACTCCTCTCGTGTTGCAGGTGTTAATGAGCGACGGTAACTGTTTTTCATCAGGTGGGCCGTCTGCTTGTTTGCCTCCGTAATAATAATAAAAAAAGTTCTGGGAAGTTATTATCATTATTCACTAGTACCCCATCAGTGTAATACCGATAGTGTAGGTGGGGATTCAATTCCTCTTCGCCTATTAATAAAATATCGTTTTCCCTTGGAAAAAAAGGGGTTATTAGTCTAACTTCCCCGATAGCAATATACCTATTTCCTGGTATATCCGTCACGATCGGCCAAATGAGCTGACTTCATCCTCACCTATCACCTCACATTGGTGCCCCGCTGAAGAAGAGGATTTGTTAGTAAATAATTACTAGCAATATTAATAATAATAGCAAATAATAATAATAATAGCAAGCAAATAATAATAGCAATTAATAGCAATATACAATACCAAGTAGTCTGTAAGAGATTGCTTTTAGCGCCGCCATTCGACCTCCACGCGGCTCCCCCTGGAAACCATCGTGATTAATTCCGATTGAATCCGTCACAACGAGATAACTGACCTGGTGTCACCCTCACCTATCAACATTCACTGGTGCCCCGTCAGGCGCAGGAGGGGTTACCATTCTATTTTCATATTTACAAAAAGACATCTAGATTTTTAGCAGAGCAAATAAATGGGTTATATGAAGAAGAAAATAAATATATATTTTTCAATTATCTATTTCCATTGAAATATGTGTTGACTGGTCATGTAGCTCGAAGAACCGACAACCGGTGGGGAAATGTTCTCGAGTGGCGAGCCCGTACAGGCAAACGCAGTACAGGATAACACCCTACTATTGGGAGGAAAGGGATTGTTGGCAATGGAGTTTGACAACCCCATTGCCAGCAATATGCCCTATTAGGTCGACTTCCACGTGGTTCCCCCTGGAAACCATCGTGAACAATTCTTGTTGAATTCGTCACGATGGGCTAACTGGTCTGCTTCATCCTTACCTATCATTCTTCACTGGTGCCCCGCCGGTGTATACCGAAAGCGCAGGTGGGGTTACCATTCCATTATCATCCATTAAAAAAAACCCTACTATTTGGAGTGACGACCTCAAATACATTGCAGAAAACCGTTCCTTATGGCAGTCTATAGGGAGACCTACATTCAACAGTGGACAGATATGATGATATGGGAGCTACGAATATTTATCAAACACTGCCAAATTTTAAATCGATAGCATTAATATTTTTTATACAATTATGGTGGCTAACAAGCATACGGCCCGTCTGATGATAAACGGGGTTACCGTAGCCTATGGACGTCTGTAACACCATAGATGTTACGCTGGCGTTGCCTTAATACGCTTTTAAAGAACCCCATGTTGCTAAAATACTATCACCATCTGACAGACGTACGTACGAATAATCTCAATTCGTCGTTTCGCGTCCTATTCTTTGAGAAAAATGTTCAATTTAACTAGTTTCGTGGGAAAATAAATTTTTACGCCTTACATTTTGTATAAATGTCTTCTATTCGGTGGCTAAAAAGAGGGCATTAAAAACCTATGTAACTTCACATTCTCCTAAACAAATTTATCCTATCTCATTACGTACACACAAAAATGGCCTATATATTAAAAGGAAAGGCCCTCGTGAGAAATCGTTTGTGGTCGAGAGTGAACCATTTTATTTTGTGAATAACCTCTTTCACTCGTCGCGTATCGTTTTTTGTTGCAAATTACTCTGTTAGAAATGTTGAGGGGTGGAATTAAATGTTTTATAATTTTATCAGTTCTTTTATTACTATTATTTATGATTTTACTATATTTTTTTTAATTTAAATGTGGTACAACACATTAGTTTTTTTTTTAGTACGTTTGTTCCGTTGTGAAACAGGCTAAGGTCGGAGACCATGCTGCCTAGTCTTCAATATGATAAATTGTCTGGAATTTTATATTTTTAATGTTTTTTAGAATTTTTGTACCGAGTAGCAAACATTGTTTAATAATTATCATCCAATAATTATTGAATGGCAAACAAGCACAACACATTGGTTTTATTTTTAGGTATTTTCTTTTTTTAACACAGAGTAAAAGTAACATAAAAGATAGCTGTCAGCATAGAGTAGGTATATATATACAATATTTTTTTAAATTATTAATCTATCTTTAACAAAAAATAAGAGAATAAGAATAAAAAAGATAAAGAAGATTTTTACTTACAATTAAATATAATTAATGAATAATAATATGTAATAAATTATATGTATTTGATATTTTTGTGCATTACATGTTTTGTATTTTGTGCACGAAAATTGTTGATTCACTCTTGCGCCACCTGCCCTTTTCTATCTGTTCTCCCTTAACTAAAGGTTGTCTGTAAGAGATTGCCCTAGCGATAAGACCGCCTTTTGTACCTTTATGTGTATATTTCAATCTGTATTTATGTTACTGTATTTCATTTGAATTATTCACTTGTCATTGTATATTTTTATTTATGGTGCAATAAAGAGTTAAATAAATAAATAAATAAATAAATAATATAAATATACAACAAGTACCAGCATATTTTATAAACAACTATATAGGTAAAATATAAATATAACCGTCCGAAGATTTAGAAATTTTACTTCAAATTATCTTTAATTATAAAATAATCAATAAAAACTATACAAAACTCGATTCTATCTTCATCTAGTATTTATTTTTATTTATTTATTTATTAAATACAAGAAATTTACAACAGCGAGTACATTGGACCCCGGACTAGGCGAACCTGTATCGCGGGAGTCCATAAGAGATTACCAAGACACGGTGATTTACAAATATAAATTAGTAGTATAGTATTTCGTGTCTGTTTTTGTTTAGGGACCAACTATTTTAAATTATTTAACTTTGCAATTTTATTATGTAAATATAAATTTAATGTGTTAGAAAGAGAAAGGTATAAAATAAATTTCGCAGTTTGAATACCGAACGGTTAACACTAGACTTCGAGCAGCAATCTGATAATTTGCCTGAAAATGCTTCGTCCAAATGTGAAACATGTGTCGCAAACGTGCGCGGACGAAATAACAGTCGGAGAGTGAGGGCTAATATGGAAGATTGTAGAACTTCTGGTAGTAATAATGGTGGTCAATCTTTGAGTGTTGGCAGTCACACACATACTAATGGTAGCGGAATTAAACAAAATAATTCTAAGCAAATAACCATTGATATGGACTTCAGCAAGATAACAACCAGTTTTTTTTATATAACTTAGAATGGCAAACAAGCTGACGGCCCACCTGATGGAAAGTGGTAACCGTCGCCTATAGACATAAGTAATACTATGGACATAACAGAATATACTGTTTCGCCCATACGTTGCCATTTCTGAGGACTCATGTGTTATTCCTCTGTACCCTGTAAATTCACGCCATATCCCTCCCTTCAAACCGAAACACAGCCATGCAAACAAAATTGCTTCACGGTAGAAACACGAATGGAACAGAGGTACCCAAGCAATCGACTTTTATACAAAGTCTCCTAGTAAAACAAAGAGAAAGCAATAAAATGCTACCCACAGGTTATCATTATTATACAGCGTGCAACTTTACATGAGTAGTAAAAACTGAACTTTTTTCTCTCTCTCTTTCTATTACTTTTTGTATAACTTTCTTTTAAAAGAGGAATAGATAAATATTATTTTTATTTTTAAGCAACTTAAAAAAGAAGATTTGAGAATCTTAGGTTATTTTTTATGTTTGCCACTTCAAAACTCCGTCAGTTGCAAACCGATTTGAAAAAATATTATTTTATCTGAAAGGATATACTTATAGACTGGTCCCATAAAAAAATTACCATTACCTTAGATATTACACTTTGAGAAGTAAACTAATTTACGTATAGTAAAAAAACAAACCATATTCATTAAAAAATATTTATTGACACTTAAAGAAATAATCACAGAAACACGAAATTCAATTTGCACCAATAAAAAAATTACACTAAACTTTACAATAGGGCCGAGTCTGTTACGAACATTTTAATTTGATAGTTTATTAGATGTAACAGTTTTATTCGATCACTATAAAATAAATTTATAATAACATTTACTTCAATCCTTCGAATAAACATATCATTGTTATAACAAATTGTAAATTTTAATTTTACAATCAAATTCAGAAAATGCGCCTCAGAATCGACCCTATTGCCAACTTAAGAAAACTAATCGACTCAAATGAGTGAATTCAAATATCCTACTATTGCAATAGTCTGTGAAATTAATTCATTTATTGTATTCCGCCATTTTTAATAAAATTGAGCTAATAGCTTACTGTTTATATAAGCCATTTGGATTGTCATTTATATAAATAACTAGTTGACCTGGCAAACGTTGTTCTGCCACATATTTTTTTCCGGATAGGGACACCCTAATCACCTAGCGGTATGAAATATACTTTACGACTTATTCTCATACCTACTAATTATACATAAAATTTTCATAAAAATCGGTCGAGCCGTTTCGGAGGAGTTCGATCATAAACATGATGACACGTGATTTTTATATATAAGATAGTTATGCATGTGATTTTTTGCCTACATTATGAGTTTCCCTGTAATATAGTTGAATCTCGATTATCCGAATATTCGATTATCCGGACTTATTCCTACGGCACTAATTTTCGATTTGAAAATGGAATCATATATTAATAGGGTAAATTATCTTATTAGTTCGTAATTTTTTTTTATATCGTATTGTCTAAACGACTTATGTAAAGGCCTTTACATAATTAAAAATAAATATTAAAATATAATTATTGTTTGACTTCACTTTGAAATCGATTATCCGGATTTTCGATTATACGGAATAGCCCTAGTTTTATTCGATTCGTATAATCGAGATTCTACTGTAATAAAATTATAACAATTATTCGTATTGAAGCCTTATAAACATAAACAAACATTTAATGTTTTGTCTTTCATGAAATAATAAAATTAATTTTGTTTGTTACATTACAAATTTAAATTATAATAAAATAAAAAAAATAAAAAACTGAAAATTCATTCATTATATCTAGTAATCTGATTTGTATAAATCCGCCATTATAATGGCGAATTAAAACAAATACTTGTCGTAAGTAACGTTTGATATATTTCTTTTAATAAGATTGTTGTTCATATTTTGAATTTATTAAAAATACATAATACTATATTTTGGGAGCGTATCTCTGGTGGCTCTATGAAGACAATTAGTTTTTTTTTATATAACTTAGAATGGCAAATAAGCTGACGGCCCACCTGATGAAAAGTGGTAACCGTCGCCTATCCTATAGACATGAGCAGTACCATGGACATAACAGACTATACTGTTTCGCCCATGATACCCCCCATGTGTTGTTATTCCTCTGTGCCCAGTAAATTCACGCCTATACCTACCTAGTAATTAGTAAACCTATGGCCATTATTACATTAACATAGATTGTTTTACTGTTGTGGAGGCTCAGTTAGATCATAATCTCTCATGAACACTTGCAACACGAAGGGAGTGGGGGGGGGGGGGAAGGGATTGTTAGTAATTCGAACTACTAGCAACTCTGTGAAGATAACCGCCACGCAGTACCCCCTGGAAACCATCATGACGTTCGTGAAACTTCATCTATCATCCTTCGCTGGTGCCACAGGATATACCGATAGAACTGACGGGATTACCATTTCATAATAATCCCTTAAAAAGAATACGACGGGGAGAATTAAGGAGAATAAAAATGGGAATTAGAGGAAATGGAATGGGACCCCGCCTGCGCCACCGGTATACGCTGGTGAGACACCAGTGAGAGATGATAGGTGAGGATGAAAGCAGATCAGTGGATCCACACTGACGAATTCATAAAAAAATTATATATACTTCGACGGTTTCCAGGGGTACACACATGGAAGTCGATTTGACAGGTCCTAGATACATTTCACGCACTGGGCTGTTAGACCTCTATTCCTAACAATCCATTTACCCCTGTGGAGTGGAGTGTAAGTAGTTGGGACTAGTGACTAGTGAAGGATATGTGTCTATCACCATCCATGTGAAGGTAGTAACGGAATTACAATTTTCATACCTATTCTAACACTAGTAGTCTTTAAATTTCATATTTGTTTTTCAGATCTTGTATTTCGTCGTCACTGGCATTCTCAGCCGTCTTGCAGTGTTGGAGCAGGTTTGTCAGGACTGAAATAAAAAATATATATATAGTTGCCGTGTGGTCCTTGCATAGAATGAGCTATCCCTTCTTTTCCCGTGGATGTCAGCAGAGGCGACTAAGGTCTTACTTAATAGTCAAGTGGTAAGCAGCAGTGTCCCTCAAAAAATATCACCAAAACCTAACTGCTGTTGCCAATTCACTTGCCAAGCACGGTAAATACTGGCAATACCCCCCTTATGGGAAGGCCTATGTTCAGCAATGGACAGTTAACAGCTGTTAAGATATAAGAATGTGAAAATATTATATTTTTATAAGAAAAACGACAAATTTTAAGATAATTTCTCAATTCTTTTTAAATAAAGATTCATATTATATTAATTATAATTTGATGTCAAAACATCAAATTAGTTATGTACCAGTACCTGAAAATTTCATAATGATGATATATATATATATATATATATATATATATATATATATATATATATATATATATATATATATATATATATATATACTATATATTACATATCACTATGGCATAGTAGCCTAAACAAAATAATCATAAAAAAATCACAAAGAACAGATAATCACCTTGCTTGTCACTGCTGGATAGGAACATGGCTAACGCTGAGAACCTCTTCACGGTGCAGAGCCCCCGGAGGTAGGCAGACACTGTCTTCTCTTTGAACTTGTCCGTGTACTGATGCAGGATACGTAACACGTCAGACAGCACGTCGCTTTCTAGAGCGTTCTCGAAGATCGTAGGAATTTTTGATGGGTCTATCACCTGTGAAAGAAAAGGTTGTTTTATATTGGGTCTGATACAATAAGGAATAACTTGTGAACTCTGTATGGGCAAATGCAGTGCAGGCGACCTCCAGCTAGGAATGATGACCTTAAATGTGTTGTAGGGAGATAATAGACACAGGTGGTTCAGGACCGTTCCCTATGGGGATTATACCATTCCATTTTCATCGAATAAATAATATCGCACTATTACTATATTAAAGACTATCAAATAAATAAATGCCGTTTAATCCCGATATAGAATAGGCCACCCCTTCCTTTCCCATGAGTGTCGTAAGAGGCGACTAAGGGAGAGCAAGGGATGGGCAGCAGCATCCCTCTTAAAACATCTCCAAAGCCTAACTGCAATTGCTAATCCGCCTGCCAAGCGTGGCAACTACTGGTGAAGTTCCCCTGGCTTATGTCCAGCAGTGGACAGTTAAAGGCTAATATGATGAAATAAATAAATACTTACACTCAAGTAATCACTTCTAGCGGCGTCATTCCCTTTCAGATATTTCCATTCCGCCATGAACTGGACACTGGTCAGCGGCGGCGTCATATTTTTTACACAGTCCCGTTTCTCGTTGACACGTATATCTGTTATCAACTTCACAGATTCCGGACTCGAATCTCCTTTACCTTTATTATCCACCATTTCCGCATCACCAGTTTTGTTCGAATCATTATTATTTGTATCCCCGCGTTCTAAATTGTTTTCTATTTCAATTATCTTCATTCGAGTGGCTGGCCTTTTGGGAGATAACTCGCTTAATGGTATTTCTTGAATGGCGATAGATTTTAGTGGTCTCTGTAAAAAAAAACTGGTGGTTATTGCATTTGAAAATAATATTATTTCACTTTAGTATAATTATTATCCTGTATTAATTTGTTTATTTATTATATATTAGATATTAACGTCCACTGCTGAACATAGGCCTCCCCTATAGGCTTTCATTAAGAGTGGTCCCCAACCACCAGCAACCACTGACTGCCTGTAATGCATTTGAGGCCTTCGCTCTATCTACTGGGGGGGGGGGGTCGTCCTACACTACGTTTGCTTGTACAGGGTCGCCATTCAACCTTTCTTCCCTTCGGTTTTTAGTCACTTAGCTTGAAGAACTGACAACTGATGGGGAAGAATTTTTTTATTTGACCTTTAAAAATAATTTTTAAATCTGAGACCTCATTTACACAAAGCAACATGCTCACCATTGCTGGACAGTGGTCGTCAAAGTTTACCTTAGATCTTAGATGGGGTGGTTTGTTCACTGGTGTAATAACAGTGATTCTTTCACCGATTCCCTCCCTCCATTTGTCCAACGGTGACAGTTCTGTCTTGGCTGGTTCGTCAGGCAGTTCAATTATTTTTGGCTGCAGCTTTGGTTTGGGTTTTATCATGGGATTGTTCTCTATCGTTGGCGTTGATGATGGAGAGCATTTAGATTTTAACTGAAATTAAAATAAAACTCTTAGTAATGTTATAATTCTGGAAGGGAGTTTATTTATGACCTCTTAGCACCTTAACAGCTTAACCAGTCACTATGAAATGTATATGGGGTGGGGCACATACTATATGGGGTGGAGAAGGGTATAGGATACTTTTAATTCCAGTCAATTAAAGTCAATTTGCCAAAGGCCGGCAGCACTCCTGCAATGCCGTAGGTGTTGTGGGTGACCATGGGCGGCGGTAGTCACTTACCATCAGGTGAGCCGCATGCTCGTTTGCCCCCTGTGTTGTAAAAAAAAAAAAAAAAAAAGGCTGATTGGGAGAGAATGCAATATTTTATTTTATTTTATTTATTAGGCGCACATAACAGAAGTTTACAAATACAAACTTAAATTAAAACATACAAGTATATTAATGTATTGATCAGGTATAGTATATATATATTTAGTATTAAGTCCGCCTTTTGTACCAGACATTTGTTTTTTTGTAATGTAGTCAATATAGAATAAATAAATAAATAAAACAAACATATTCAGGCCACATAGACGAGGTCACACTTCTGTTTACTGTAATAAATTATGTATATATTATATGACTATAGAAAGGAAATATAATATAATGTAGTACTTGGCTAGCATGTAGTATATGTAATGTAATACGTATTCAGATTTTGTAAAAAGCTGTTGTTATCCCAAATAAAATAACTAAAAAATTTGTAAATTTTTTATATTGTTCAAAATTTGCACGTAGACACAGAGACAGAATGTATCTATCACCTAAAATCACCTACTTTCTAAAAAAATTTATTCATTTCATTTCAGAATCGGATGTGTATTCACAGTTGTGTTTCTGGTCTAACTTTTTTTTATATTACTGAGGTGGCAAAGAATACGACCTACTTGATGGTAAGCAGTTACCGTACCCTAACGTCCACAATTTCAGGGGTATTACGCACGCGTTACCGACTTTGAATATAGCTATTTACTCCTTTTCTAAAGAAATTACAAGTCTGGTGTATTTTTCATCTCAGTACCCTATCTAGAAGTGTTATATTTTTCTACTTCTGAAATCCACGGGTACGAAGTAGCGGGCATAGAGCTAGTGGAAAATGCAATTATACTTTTTTTTTTATACCGCTAAGGAAGTAAACAAGCATACGGCCCACCTGATAATAAATGATTAAAATACTTACGCCTTTAGTCCCCATCCTGATTTTGATCGTCTCCAGCTGTCTCTTGGCCGCTAGATTATGTGGTTCCAACTTCAACACCTCGTTCAGATCCTGTGACGCCGCTCTGAGAGAGCCGAGACGCTCTCGGGCGGTAGCGCGACGTTGGAATGCCTTCACGTATGTCGGATCAAGGCGGATCGCCTCTGAACAATCTGTTTCAGCTTGGTGTAAACTGCAAATAAGGGCAGATTTTTTTTTTAGATTAAAACTACATTTTATTAAATTAATTAATAGAAATTATAAACACGCCTACGATATTGGTATAGGTACCCCAACCAGTGAGAGAAAATAGGTGATAATGAAAGCAGATTAGTTAGTTCATCGTGAAGAACTGATAAAAAATTCGGATTGACTGAAAGTGATCTCTGGCAGAGATAAGTCCACTCTTGCTCACAATATTTATAAATGCATTGCATTTTACATGTGCAATAAAGAATATTGTTAGTAATGCAAATGGAAATGGTCAGGTAGATCCAGCTATCCCATTGCCAGCAATAACACTTTATTAAGTCGACTTCCACGTGGTTCCCCCTGGAAACCATCATGATTAGTTCTTGTTAAATTTGACCTGCCTTCGTCCTCACCTTTCATCCCTTACTGGTGCTCCACCAGTGCAGACCAATAGGGCAGGAGGGGTTACCATTCCATTATCATCTATTAAAAAAAAACCATGCTGGTTCCCAGCAGTGACCGTTTCAAATCTGACTTGACTGGATATCATCATCATCATCATCATATCAGTCATTAACTGTCCATTACTGAACACAGACTTTCCCCTTGGGGCCATTTGCCAGTAGTTGCCACTACTGCTACCATCCATTTCACGCGAAAACACCAGAGGGAGACATTGTACAAAAGTCGATTGCTTGGTTACCTCTGTCCTATTCGTGTTTCAACCGTAAAGCAGTTGTGTTTGCATGGCTGTATTTCGGTTTGAAGGCTGGAATATGGCGTGAATTTACTGGGTACAGAGGAATAACAGCTGAGTCCTCAGGAATTGCAACTCATGGAGGGTATCATGGGCGAAACAGTATACTCTGTTATGTCCATGGTACTGCTCATGTCTATAGACGCCGGTTACCACTTACCATCAGGTGGGCCGCCAGCTTGTTTGCCATTCTAACTTGTATAAAAAAAAACTACTAAACAGATTTGAATTAAATTTGTAAACATTCATAAGTTAACACACTGGGTGCTGTATGTACTAATTCAGGCATTAGGATCCGCGAGATATAGTTAGTAAATAAAATAAATATAGTAAAAAAAATTACCTGTCTTTTTTGAGGTAGCACAAGCCTCTGTTAGCAAAATAGATAGCATCATCTTTGACTAATTCGATGGCTCTACTGTAACACGATATGGCTTCATCCAATTTATCCTGCCTCACAAATGCATTGCCCTGGAAAAGGTAAGATTTGGGATGTCAGTAAAATTTTGAAAAAGATTTTATACATGTACTTTACATAATTTATCTGCTTCTCCTCTGTCCCAGGTTTTTTTTTTTGATGGGTGAAAATGGTATGGTAACCCCGCCTGCGCTAACGGGATACGCTGGCGGAGCACCAGTGAAGGGTGATAGATGAGAATGAAAACAGGCCAGTTAGCCCATCATGATGAATTCATCAGGAATTAACCATGATAGTTTCCAGAGAGAACCGTGAGGAGGTCGACCTGGTTGGGTATATTGCTAGCAATGGGATTTTCAGTCTCCATTACTAACAATCCTTTTCCCCCCCTCTGTCTCAGGTTGTAAAGATCTGTCATTGGGGAGCATCAGCCACATTCCTAACTATATACTCTGTCAGATCGACCTACTCGTGGTTCCTCCTGGAAATCATTCTGGTCAATTCATGAATTCGTCATGATGAGCTAACTGCCCTAACTTCATCCTCCCCTATCATTACTCACTAGTGTCCTACCAGCGTATACTGATAGCGTAGACGGAGTTCCATTCCTTCGTCACACATAAAAAAAACCATTGTCACACTCCTGTTTCTACTGCTAAACAATTGTGCTTGCTTCGGTTTGAAGTGTGGGATATAGTAGTGAAATTACAGGAAACGGGTACATAAATTCTAGTGATCGGAATGGCAACGAATGAAGAGTATAGGTAAAACAGTATATTCTGTAATGACCATGGCAATGGTCGTGCGTATAGGCGAGTGTTACCATAAAGTTTCCATAAAGTGGGCTATCAGCTTGTGTTATTCCAAATTGCATAAAAGGAGATATCATCATTATCATCAAACCAGCTTTTAACTGTCCACTGCTGTAAGTCTCCCGCTTGAGTGATTGTGCTAGTAGTTGCCACGCTTGGCAGGCGAATTGGCAACCGCAGTTAGGCTTTGGAGACGTTTTAAGAGAGATGCTGCTGCCCATCCCTCGCCCTCGATTTTGATAAAAAAAAATCTACGAGACCAATTAGAAAGTATGACTTTTCAGATAAAAAGCGATTTTTCCAAATTTATTTATAAATGACAGAGTTATGAGGTAATTAATAAACATAAAAAAATATATAACCAAGTTGAAAATTTTCTCCTTTTAGTCAATTAAAAGGACCGAAAAGAATGGTTGTTATGTAAAAGAATGGTAGGGCTTTTAAGAGAAAGCCTCGAGGCCCTCGAATACTACTAATACTAAATAACTTTTTTTTATACCACTGTGGTGGCAAACAAGCATACGGCCCACCTGATGGTAAGTGGTTACCGTAGCCTATGAACACCTGCAATACCAGAGGTATTACGCGTGCGTTGCCGACCCTGAAGAAACCTCTTTACCCCCCTTTTCAAGAACTCCATGCCTCTTGCGACAGTCAATGGATCAGCTTAATTTGTCCGTTAGAGGCAAAGGGGCATACATCAAGAGTTACCTGCATTCTGTTTAATCAATGTTGCTATGTAAACAACATACATACTCAAGGTTTGCTTATTGTTTGTTTTTAAAACCCTATTATACAGAATTTTTATGTGCACATTTACAATTAGACATGATTTGTAACAATTGTTTGCTACACAAGGAAGAATGCCACGCTTAGTAGACAGGTTGGCAGCCGCAGTTAGACTTTTAGAGATGTTTTAAGCGGGATGCTGATGTCCATCCATCGAACATAAGTTCCCTAAATAGCCTCTTATGACACCCACGAGAAAGGAAGATGTGGTCCATTCTATGCCGGGGGAATACACGGAGAGAACTACTGGCAAACTCCCCTTATGGGGAAGGCTTATGTCCAACAGTAGACAATTAATGGCAGCTTTACACGTCATAATGATAATGTGAAGGATACTGGAGTAAACCCTATTTATTCTATAAAGAATTATGAAAATCAGTTTAGAATTAGTGATGTTATCGCGTAGTACAGTAAAAAAAAACAGTTGAACTGAAAAGAATATATATAATAACTTTATTTACTTAAACAAAATTAGCCTGTAGTACAATATAACTATGACCCCACACTAGGCAAATCCAGTCTCGTGGAAGTCAAAGCTAGAAATTTAACAGTTATGGTACGGTTTCCTTTCCAAATCTTCATTTGGAAGCTGTCTAAAAATATATTTGAATTTAGAGATTGTTCTAAATTCAAATATATTTTTAGACACCTTTTCTAAGTTGGTACATAATCACATTCACAACAGTTGAATAACCTTAAATGAAATCCTATACACGAAATATATTCTAGAAAAACGTGAGAAAACTATGCTACAGATAATGAAATAATCACTTACCCTCTCCTTCTCATACTGAGCTTCCTCTCTCAACTTCTCCTGTTTTGCTGCCTGACTCTTTTTGCTATCGAGCGACACTGGACCCACCTCTGCCATATCTATCTCTTCACATGCTTTATCCTTAAAATAAAAATTTAAAAAATAAATAACCATCCAATTGTGTTATTAAAGAAGTTTATCTAATAATAGACCAAAATAAGTGGCCAAGTCTACAGTCAGATATTTTTTTTATACAACTTAGAACGGCAAACAAGCTGACGGCCCACCTGATGGAAAGTGGTAACCGTCGCCTATAGACATGAGCAGTATCGTGGACATAACAGAGTGTACTAGTATATAAGTTATAGTATAGTATACCAGTTTAACATCTGGTTTCTGACAGCACAGTGTACCTTATCCTAACCTAAAGATGGGGTTCAACATATAAGACTTTTTTTAACAATGAGGGTAGTTACATAGACCTCATAATTTACATACAACACAAAAAACATAAGTTACACAGTATCAAGCATGTTCAATCAAGCAATGAAGATCTAGTTAATTAATATTAAAATAGTTATTTTTATTAATTAAAGAGACTTAAACAGCTTGCTAGTGTAGTTGGTTTGGTCTAAAGAATGGGATGTAGCAGTGAAGTTATAGAGTGTAGAATTATAACATCACAGGCCTCAGGGATGAAAATACATAGTGGATACCATTGGTTGATGGTTGCAAATTTCTATCAGCCGTTAACTTGCTATTCCAAATTGTTTAAGAAAACTTAATAGCAATATACATACTACGTCAAATTTCTCCCAAGACTGATAATCAGATGATGATATCCTCTTCTCTGGCTTTTTGCTAACTACAACTGGCTTGTCTCTCTTTATCTTGCTTCTTACAGGTGGTAGATCCTAACCTCAAACAAATCAAAAACATACTTATATATATATTTACTAGAACATTCTACCATTTTAAATATGTAAGCAATTTCTTGTATTTATACAAAATGAACGTAAAATTTAGTATCTAATATAATACATCGACTATAGATAATTTTTTTTATTTTACGTAGACGGTACATAGACAAAGGAATTACATAGAATATACACAACAACTAGTAATGTAAGTGATAATGTATATTATAATAGATATAGCATTACGAGCAAATATGATAAACCTGCTCAAATTCGCCGTTGAGGGCGGCTTCTTTGCGTTTCATCTCCGCTTCCCAATTTTGCAAATCTGTCAAGTATGTTTCCAATGTCTTAACATTATCCCGCACTTGTTTTTGTATTTCGAAAGCTTTATCCATTATAACACAGTATTCTCGAAGGAATAATAAGTTTCTTTACCTGTTAGATCGATAGCCTAGAGATATTTTGAAATATTTTATTATATCAGTTGTCAAACTTGTCAAAATTCTTATTATTTTCCTGTACGTTCCATAGCTCTAACCAGGACTGCCAGATAAAACTTTTTATTTCTCCCGAAATTAGAAAGCATTCTCCTCCGAAATTGCAGTGCCATTTTCTTTAGATTTTATCCAGAAACCAAATTTTATGTTATAACAAATAGCTAATATAAATGAATAGTTTACTAAAAAAATTGTTACAGACAACCTTACCCTAGCTCAAGTTAAAAAATTAAGTTAGTTTCTTTATGTAAGAATTTTTTGATCACATTTATGAAAAAATATTTAATCTAGCAACACTGCACTCTATACATTTTTAATACTACTTGTACGCAAAGGACTAACGATCATTCAGCTTTGTCTGATTTGTATTAAAGAATATTAAAATGTAAAACTTGAATTTAACATTTAAATTATTGTATAATTTTTACACGAATAGTGCTATTATGCCATGCTAAGAAAATAATTTTAAAAGCAACCATTCACCTCAGTCTCGAGCGATTTTAAATTTGGCTTTCCTTTATGTTCTTTCTCCCCAAAGTAGGAGGGAAGAATTATTAGTAACGAAGACTAGAATTCCCGTTGTCAGCAATATAAAGCAATATAGGTGTCGAGACTGCGTAAAGATTGCTCCACGTAGTCTCATGTGAAAACCTTCGTTTTTAATTTTTGATAAATTCATCATAATGGGTCATTTGTACTGGTTTCATTCTCATTTGTCATCATTTATTGATAGCCCACCAGCATATATCACTGCATAGCAGCACTGATAGCTCAGATGCTAATCTTATTTTTATTAATTAAAAAATATTTTCCAGTAGTAGATAGGGAGGTATTATTAAGAAAAAAAAATTGGATTTATTTTTCATATTTTGTTCCTGAGTATCTAACTTAAAATCTAGAATGGCATTAAGTTCGCTACTTGTATAAATTTTTATTATGCAATAAGGAATAAATAATAAAAAAAATATCTTAGTGTGTATCTAGAAATAGTCTATTTAACTGATTCTCCTCCTTCCAACTTCATGCATACGATGTCGTTGTCATTCCCAAAATAAGTTTATAATTTTTTATACAAATTGTGCTGTTAAATACCCAATTTAGTTGGAAAGGTATTTATCACACATAACCAGGTTTTTATAACAAAAATTGTTTTAAAAATAAAGTTTTGGTTAGATTATGAAGTATATCAATGTACTTATGAGTAGATGTAAACTACGATACACTTATAAAATACGATATAGGCTTTCTCCAATGTTTTTTAACATGTGTGACCTTTCCATTTTCGTACTGGGGATCACATATTATTGGTCCTTTTCATTGGAGAGTCTATGTCTAGAAGTCACACTAAGCAAGCGGGGTGGTGACTGGAATTTTTCTAAGGATTTTTAAAGGAGTTTAGGGAAGGGATAAAATGTTTAAGCGAGACGATGTGGGATACGATAGTGACAGCCATACTTTCGAGGGGCGCATGCCCATACATCAGGAAGGAGAATCCACTGGAAAAAGATTAAAGGTAGTATTTGCGATTTATGAAGGATTGTACCCTGACAAAACCTCTTTGCAGTTACCTTGGAAACGGTATTGGTTAATTAATTCTTTTTAAACTTTCCACGACGGACTAATTGACTTGAACCTCATCGCTACATCCTCAACTGGTGTTCCATTATTATGTATTATTAACATAGGTAGGTGCATAGCACCATTAAAAAAAAAACTTCTAAAGTTAATATTTCTTAAGAGTAGGTACATAAGGTCAAATCAGGAACGTAATCCGATAATTACATACGACTGTGTTGCAATTTATTTCAATAAAAATAGAATAAAAAAAAAAACAAATTAATTTAAGGGCTTCAAAACAGGTTGAAATTACAGGTTTATTCTATTTATATTAACTAAACTGTTCATTATAATACCATATATCACTAATGTACTCCTAGATCACGCTATAGCAAACCATAATAAGCAGTTAATTTGGGTATAATGCGCCAATTTAGCCATTGGTGTGTGAGAAACTCTGAGGCTAATGTCTTTCCGATGCAACATTGCCAGATCGGGTAATTTTTTCGCAATTTTAGGTAAAAAATTATCGTGACGGCAAAATTTTGAGTATTTTTTTTTTGAATAGATGAAAATGATTTGATGACCACGCGAGCGAGTAAGGTACATTGACGATTCTTTCCAAAAAAGATCGATTTCTGAATCATCCTGACCAAAATCTGGTAAATAGATTTTATAATTAATTTTGTGTTTGAACGATCGATTTCTCAGAATCGATTTTTTTTTCGAGTTTGTATGAATATAATTTAATTGTGAAAAATGAAACGGGTACCATACCAATTGATATTTTATCATATTTTAGTTTTTTTTTACAACTACATCATATTATTTTTTTACATTTTTTTTTCAAATTTATTCTAGTATATATTTAGGTACATATAAGTAATTTTAAATAATTTTATGATTTTTATAAATACAAAAAATAGAATCTCGATTTTCTAGAGCCAAATATCAATTCGCTGCATCGATTCAATTTTCTATATCAATTATATATTTTTTTTCTTTGATAAATAATTCGGTTCTTTGATTAATCGATCTCAGATCTTCATATCCCAGATAAGGATGAAGGTCAATTGGGGCATCGTAATGAATTTTACAAGAATTAATCACGATGATATCCAAAAGGAACAAAGTGTAAGTCGACCTGATAAGATATACTGCTAGTTAGTAGTAGCTTGGAGACGCTTGTCTTTATTACTAACAATCCTTTTCTTTGTTTTTTTTTTATTATAGGATGATGATGAAATGATATCCCTGCCTGCGTTGACGATATACGCTGACTGGACACCTGTAAGGGATGATAGATGGGAATGAAAAGGCAGGTCAGTTAGCCCATCGTGATGAATACACCTGAATTCAGCACGATGCTTTCCAGGGGGTATCAGTTGAAGGTCGACCTGATAGACAGTATATTGCTAGAAATGGCACTGGTAGTCCGCATTTCTAACAATTCCATACTCGCATCGCTTAGTGTTTTTTTTTTAATGGGTGAAAATGGTAACCCCGCCCGCGCTATCGGTATACACCGACGAGGCACCAGTGGAAGATGGTAGATGAGAATGAATGCAGATCAGTTGGCACACCATGATGAATTCGACCAGAATTAAACATAATGGTTTCCAGGGGGAACCGCGTGGAGGTCAACCTGAGAGGGTATACTGCTGGGATTGTTAGTAATGGGGTCTAATAGCCCCATTACTAACAATCCCTTTCCCCCCTTGCTTAGTAGTTAGGTAACTTCATAATGTAACGTAGACAAAATGAGTACAAATCTGTGATTGGATAAAACTGAAATAAATCGTATTAATTTGAAGAAAAAAAAATTTTAATTTGGGGAAAACGAGAAATCATATCTGGTAACGTTATTTCAATGTTTGCGTGTATTTTTAGTTCGATTCTATTATTTTTCGGGTCACGGTCGGGTTGTGTAATTGTCAATTTTAATAACTTAATTTTATGTGATTTAGGCAGTTAATTTGGGTACTTGGTTTTTAATATCCTGACGTCATCCGAATACTGAATGGATTAACATCATCTTAAGGTTGTGTTCTGTCAAGGAAACTAATTATTGTTTCCTCAAGTAGGTACCTCACCTGAAGGACATTTCATCCATTAAGTAGGATGAAAACCAGAGGGATACTTTGTACAAAAGACGATTGCTTGGATACCTTTGTCCCATTCGTGTTTTAACCGTGAAGCAGTTGTGTTTGCATGGCTGTGATTCGGTTTGAAGGGTGGGATATGGCGTGAATTTACTGGGTACAGAAGAATAACACCTGAGTAATATACCCAACCAGGTCGATCTCCTCGCGGTTCCCCCTGGAAACTATCATGGTTAATTCCTGATGAATTCATCATGATGGGCTAACTGGCCTGTTTTCATTCTCATCTATCACCCTACACTGGTGCTCCGCCAGCGTATCCCGTTAGCGCAGGCGGGGTTACCATTCTATTTTCATCGATAAAAAAAATAATACACCTGGAATTCAACATGATGGTTTCCAGGGGAAACCATGTGGACCTCCACATGGTGTCGATTTGACAATATATTCTATAATTTATAATATTATATTATAATTTGTGCCTATTATTTGCGTTTTAAATTTTGATTTTCGATTACAATCAATAAAAACGGTCAAATCATCGCAATGATGAATGATATCAGCAAATCCGGATGTTTATACAGAAATGTGTAAAAACACTGTAGAAGGCACATAATTAGAAGCATTTTAACTGAATACACGAGATTGAATCGACAGACAGAATATCAATACTAAATTGAATTAATTATAAATGGTTCCGTACATTTATTTAATCAAAATGAAAAAATATCGTTAATGACCGTATGAATCTATTTTATACTAGCAACCCTACTCGACTTCGTACTTCTAGACAGAATTTTCGAAAAACAATATATGGTATAGGTATATAATAAAAAGTTTCAGCCAATGCAATTGATCGCTTATTTGAAAGCAGAGCAATAAAGTAAATATATTTAGTATTTTATATGTGATTCTTTAGATTGATATAACTTTATTTATTCATAAATCGATTGAAATAAAACAAACACTAAATGTTAAGTTGAGCAAACCGTAACGCAATAGTGAAAACCACACTTAAATCGGTTAAGCCGTTTCTGAGATTAGCGTGCAACGTATAGATAAACAGATAAAAGTTCTAATAATTATTGTTTTGCACTCTATTGTGTTCATAAAGCCCCCTATAATACTTTTTCTTATATATTTTTTCTTATACGAGTACAACTTAGAATGGCAAACGATCTGACGGCCCACCTGATGGAAAGCGGTAACCGTCGCCTATAGACACGAGCAGTACCATGGACATAACAGAGTATACTGTTTCGCCCATGATACC